AGCGAACAAGGCATGTTTTCTGCCCCCTCATTTACACAGTATGTGTGATATAAAATGTAGAGATGAGTAGGTGAAATACACTAGTCTTTTTGTTTTCAAATGTACCCTCAGGTATCACCAAATGAATGTGTGAAATCTTAATGATTCTATGTTTGAGTGCAGAACAGGTACATTGAGCTATGGCAGATTACTGATGTCTGACAGATACAAATAAGAACAAAATGCAGACTGCCATCAACAGGGTGCCCATACAAAAATACATATTTTATTTGAGTTTTGTCTCATCACTATGATAGTGAGTAACTCAAACAACTCAGGTCATCTTTTGTCTACACGGCAGAGCAAAGTCTGCTGCTGAAGCAAGACCTGGAAAATGTTTCTTTTTTGTGCAGAGCTTCTCCACAGTCTCTGCACGTAGCCGTAGTAACTGCGAGGAGAAGCCCAGAGGCTGCTTCTTTTTTATTTCAGTGATTGATTTCTGGTGGGGAATTACTGTGCATCACAATAATGTGTTTTGCAATGGTCCACGCCTGTAGACGCATGGCTTGTAAATGTGAATACAAGGAGTCAGGGAAAATGGTCCCAATCAGACATATGGCTCATTAAACCAGATATGTTCTGCAGGGCAATATGCAACAGAAGGTGTGTCAACATAAGCACACCATTTGACACAAGCACTACATCCAGAGATATTCTGTCTGCTGACTGAAGCCTTCCAGACTTTATCTCTGCTTCACTCTCTAGTATCACAACAACAACAATGTTTTTATTTGTATTTGTTGTTTTCTCTGCTCTAAGAAATGACTTGAGCCAACAGAATACCAGTATCTGCATATGTGTCTGTGTCTGTGTGATTTGCATTAAAGGTGCAAGAGCAAACTAGCAAGGATCCAATATATATGTATTGACAAATAAGATCAGATATCATTTATTGATCCCAATTTGGGAAATGTTTCCGTCACAGCAGCATACAGTAGATACGTCATTGCACTTGGATGATAGATACAAATAGAAATACAATAAAGATATACATATGAGCTGTAGAAGATAACCAAAACACTCAAACAGTGAATATATACATGTTATATAAATAAATATATATATATATATATATAAATTAAACACTATATTAGTAAAGTCAGTTTAGTCCATTTAATAAACAAGTTCTCACTCAGACAGACAGGTTCACAGACAGACAGACAGACAGACAGACAGACAGACACACAGACACACAGACACACCGACACACACACACACACACACACACACACACACACACACACACACACACACACACACACACACACACACACACACACAAACACACACACACAGAGACAGACAGACAGACAGGCTCACAGGCAGGCAGACAGACAGACAGACACACAGACACACACACACACACACACACACACACACACACACACACACACACACACACACACACACACACACACACACAGACAGACAGACAGGCTCACAGGCAGGCAGACAGACAGACAGACAGACAGACATGCTCACAGACAGGCTCACAGACAGGCTCACTGACAGGCTCACAGACATGCTCACAGACAGGCTCACTGACAGGCTCACAGACAGGCTCACTGACAGGCTCACAGACATGCTCACAGACAGGCTCACTGACAGACTCACAGACATACAGACAGACATACAGACATACATACATACAGACAGACAGACAGGCATGCTCACAGGCATGCTCACAGACAGGCTCACATACATGCTCACAGACAGGCTCACAGACAGGCTCACAGACAGGCTCACTGACAGGCTCACATACATGCTCACAGACAGGCTCACTGACAGACTCACAGACATACAGACAGACATACAGACATACATACATACAGACAGACATACATACATACATACAGACAGACAGACAGACAGACAGACAGACATGCTCACAGACAGGCTCACAGGCAGACAGACAGACAGACAGACAGACACATATACAGACAGACAGACAGACAGACATGCTCACAGACAGGCAGGCAGACAGACAGACAGACAGACATACATGCTCACAGGCAGACAGACAGACAGACATACAGACAGGCTCACAGACAGACAGACAGGCTCACATACAGACAGACATGCTCACAGACAGACAGGCAGACAGACAGACATGCTCACAGACAGGCAGGCAGAGAGACAGACAGACAGACATACATGCTCACAGGCAGACAGACAGACAGACATACAGACAGGCTCACAGACAGACAGACAGACAGACAGGCTCACATACAGACAGACATGCTCACAGACAGACAGGCAGACAGACAGGCTCACATACAGACAGACAGGCTCACAGACAGACAGGCAGACAGACAGGCTCACAGACAGCCAGGCAGACAGGAACTGTTTGATTTCTGCAACAGCCTCAGTTTTGCAATCCAATACTCTCCAAGAAATGAGTTTCTAATGATTCCTGTCAGAGATGTTAGCGGGGGGGAAGGGATTGTTGTGCTTCTGCTTTTGATCACCATCACTGTCCTCCATACTGACTGGTTGCTACAGAACAGGAGAATGATCTTTGTCTGTATCACTCTTTTTAGTAAAGTGTATCCTTACATTAAAGGAGTTCTTCTTCTCCTCCTCCTCCTTTTGTCCTTCATTTATCCATGGAATGTTTCAAATTCAGTAACTGACAAGATTTAGAGCTTAAAATGTTAATAATTTGCATTCTAGCATGCAGCTCTTATTGATTTATCCAGGGAAACTTTAGAAAAGTAGAACACACCTTCTGCACAGCCGGTGGTGACCGGGTGGACGAGAGTTCAGGAGAACAGGAGGAGAGATTAAGAGAGAGCCTCAGCTCTACAGCAAGCAGATCTGTGTGTGTGTGTGTGTGTGGTGTGTGCGTGTGCGTGTGCGTGCGTGTGTGTGTGCGTGCGTGCGTGTGCGTGTGTGTGTGTGCGTGTGTGTGTGTGTCTGCCATAACTAAGCCAAGCAGGGATGAGGAATGAGGAGGGCAGGTGTTCAAAACAGAAACACACACACACACAAACACACATACACACACACACACACACACTCACTCACACTCTTACTCTCTTTCTCTACAAGGCTGGGATCTAAGGTTGCACTTGTTTTGCGTGACAAGGCTACGGGTTAAAAAGCTCTGCAGATGTTTTCATTGTGACGACATGAAGCAGACGTTGCTACAGCTAGACAAATGTCTACAGCACTTCTTTAAAAACACCAGAAAGGCTGCAGTGGCGTTTTGTTTGCACACTATATTTAACTTTCTTTATCCACAGAAGCTAATATTTGACAAGATGATGAGATAATGATAAAATAAAGCAGCCACAGAGGGAACATTGTGGACGTGTGATAGTGATGCTCTGCTCACAGCTTGATGTGTTTGTTTGGTTCTTATGGTTTGAAATAGGATGGACTTTCTTGGCTTCCAACTGTTCTCTGGTCTGGACTGAGAGACTGTTCCGGTCACATAATTCACTCTGAGGAAAAGAAAAGATCACAAGCTTCTGTAAACTGTCTACTCCAGAAACAAAACCTGATGTTACAAGAGTTTACATTCCAATATCTCTCTGGTATGTCCAGGTGTTGCATCCGTAGTAGATGTAATAATTGAATGCACCATTATTTGTATGATAGGGGAAATGTTCTTACCACTCCATATCTTATTTAGTTTTCCAAGCTGAGCTGTTGCAATGGCCAATCTTCTCCTCACTTCCAAGTCTGAGGTGCACTGATTTTTTAACATAGACCTGTGGGATACAAGATAATCAACTGTTTCCAGCACTTTCCCATCAACTTCAATATGACTCAATTATAATATGTCCATTGTTTGAGTGTTAAAAAAACAGATGATGAGCTACAAAGATGTCATTTTATTTCTAGAGTCTTGGTGGCTTCAGTTTCAGACAGCAGAACACTTCCAAGTTGTTCCTCCGGTTATCCCCTCATGATGAATGAAGCGACTCCTCGCCCCCCCCCGGCGCCAGGAGGCTCCGAGCCATGTGGCAGGCTGTGGGCTTCATTGCAAAGTCATTTTTCACTCCATTGATCAGAGCCCTGAAAGAATATTGTCTTGAGCCAGAACAACAACGTTTTAAGCAAGAGTATTCTTCCCGAGCAACATATAGGACTTTTATAAAAGCTATTTTAAAGACTATTGTAAGAAGAACAGTAAAGTTATACAATAGGACAAATACTATATTCAACGTGGAGAGCTGTGCAGATTTAAAAGGAGGTAATGTGTAGCAGAAATGTGCAACATGTTCAAAGGGTTGTGCAGGATTTACAGTATTAAAGAACACAAGATATTGCTTGCATGTGTGATAGAGTTAGGCTTCTGTTGGAGACAGAGACACAATATTATCAGAGCGTGTGTGTGTGTGTGTGTGTGTGTGTGTGTGTGTGTGTGTGTGCGTGCGTGCGTGCGTGCGTGCGTGCGTGCGTGCGTGCGTGCGTGCGTGCGTGCGTGCGTACATGTACCTGGATCTGACTGAAATGACGTACACACATAAGGAGCGTGTTTGTTCATGTTGTACAGTTTGCTTTTAGAGGTACCAAATAGTTGGTCCTTTTTTTCTCAAGATACTCGTTGTTATAACTGTTTGAATACAGCGCTAGAGCCGTGTGTGTTTGTGTGTGTAAATGTGTTTGCTTGAAATGCGGTCAGTATGTATGTAGGAACGCATCCCTATGAATGTGTATTTGCATCAGTGTTTGTGTGTGTGCATGCCTGTGTGTCCTTTGGGCAGTATTGGACTACTGAGAGCAGAATAACTTGGATCTGAGTCCAAACCCTTTGGCACAACAAACACTGCCACTCTTTGTCGGAGAAACCAGAACATTATGGATGTATTACCTCCTCTCTGACACACACACACACACACACACACACACACACACACACACACACACACACACACACACACACAGTAATTGTTTTATGTGCTATATGGTTATGTGAAAACTGAGATCCTGTTCCTGTTCCCTTGGCGCAGGGGGAGACGCTGCCCTGGCGGAGCCCTCTGAGAGCTGAACCTCAGTGAGCGAGCTCATGGCCAACACATGCCTTTTCTTCCTTTTGTTTTTGACCATGTCACATAGTAATCGTTTTTCTCTAAGGCAGAGAAGCACTTCACTGTAATCTGCTATTAGTTTTGATAAATAAATTGTTAATAATGTACCTTAAATGTGGAAATACCTTAAATATGAAATACATTGACATAATATATGAAAGAAAGGATGAGCTCACCCTGAGGAGCAGGCGTTGTTGTGTCTGATATATCACCGCTTCCCAAACATCCCAATATGTTCAGTCTTGTGTTGGTCAGCTCAGAGCCATCTGTTGGTAATGAGAAAAAGAAAAAGGGCCTCCAATCATGACACCAATGTGTTTATTTTCTTCCTGATGATATCCGTGAGATATATATGTTTGGCTTTTGTGAACCAATCCCCTGTGCAGAACAAAGCCAGCAATGCCTGTTTCTCTTAAAGGGGCCAGTATGTGTTTATAAAAGCCAAATGTCTCGTATAATATTAAAAATGCCCATAGAAATCAAGCATTTTGATCAAGTTGGACACAGTGAATATAAATGTTCTTACCTGAATGAACTGTCTCAGGTAGAGGAGTCCACACACAGCCCTTGCTGCTGGAATGTGCCCAGAGTCTGCTCTCAGACCAGTGGAGCGGGGCTGCTCTTGGATATTGCCCACATGTAGCAATAATCCTGTGTTGTTCCTGTTTCCCAGCAAACAGCACCAGGCTTTGTCTTTTTTCTTCTTATTTAATCCACGACATCACTCTGGGGGAGATAGTGGGGGTTGACTATTTAATTAAACATTCTACATTCATGGGATTTTCCATTAAACAGAGAATTGTGCCATGTTATTTTGGATGTGTTTGCATAAAGCTGCTGTTCATCCAGCCTGAAACTGCCAAACCCTCCACACATTCAGCATACATGAGACTGCTGCAAGGCACAACACTAACTTGTGTGTTTTTAAGTCTTTACTGAGTGTATTTCTCAACTTGTGCATGTGAAAACATTAGATGTAGAGTGTGTTATTATCCCTTTTAATAACAAAACAACATATTTATACTGTGCTTTAGAGAGAGAGGGGCCAGAGTTGCGTGTTCCTACTCAGCATCTCCATACAGGCTAGGCCAAACAAGATTGCACTTCTTTTCCTGCAAATAACCAACATTGATTTTGTATTTCAATGTATCCCTCCTTGCTTGCAAATGTGAGAGATCAAGAGATTTAAAAAGGGACATAACATATTTTTATCTACAAAGCCAGCCACCATGGCAAGTGCCGCTAATGAAATGCTGTATTTCAACAACTAATTACATTATTTTGGCCCAGCTTATTTGTATGGAAAGCAGGCTGGGGAGCGTTATCTGTCTGGGCTAAACACACACAGAGACTCCTAAACACAAACATGCACACAGGCAAGCAGAGAGCAGGGCCATTTCACATGTAGGAGACACTAAATGCCAAGGTTACCCAATCAATACACATTGGATATTGCACACTCTGTTTGTTAGTGTGGTCTCTCTCGCTCACACACACACACACACACACACACACACACACACACACACACACACACACACACACACAACACACACACACGCAAAGCCTCACACAGTTTCAGAAACTTGGACCTAGTTCTCTCAATCACAAGTCAGTGATAAAGAAGATGTGATGTGGAATTTCATCAAACTTTCAGAGGGATAAGGAGTGATGGGGGGTGTGTGTGTGTGTGTGTGTGTGTGTGTGTGTGTGTGTGGTGTGTGTGTGTGTGTGTGTGTGTGTGTGTGTGTGTGTGTGTGTGTGTGTGTGTGTGTGTGTGTGTGTGTGTGTGTGTGTGTGTGTGTGTGTGTGTGTGTGTGTGTGTGTGTGTGTGTGTGTGTGTGTGTGTGTGTGTAACTTGGAGGGAGCCTGTTCTTTATGTGACTATTTTTGTATTTGGCAATTCCACCAGGAGTTCTTCCTTCAGCAGCTGTAGCTCTTACAGTCTCCTCCCTAAACCATTATAAATCCAGTGATGGAAAGTAACTGAGTTACACAAGTACTGTACTTAAGTACCATTTTGAAAAAAATAGAACCAGAATACGACTGGACCGACTGGAGTTTCAGCATCAGCCTCCATGGCGATAGAACAGGACTTATTATTGGAACTGAAAACTCAGATAATCTTTACAACAATTAGTTGTTCACCAAGGGCAACATTGTCATTAATGCATTCACATTTATAATACAAATTGTTATATTTTAAAATCCGATAAAGGCCATACTGCAAAGTATATTTTGATACCAATACTTTTGTACTTTTACTTGAGTGGAGTTTTGAATGCAGGACTTTGACTTGTAACAGAGTATGTTTACACCGTAGCATTGCTTCTTTGACTTAAGTCAAAGACGAGTACTTCTTCAAGCTCTGTGTGAATCCCACCATCAGCAGACATCATCATCCTCCATCGCTCACTCATTTGGATTTGACTTGCTGCTGCTGTTGTTACTTTCATCCATTATTCAAATTCATCATACCTTTTTCATTTATTGTTTTGGTTGTGTTCTTCCATAGGTTCTCCAATGCCCTCCCCCTCCTGTCCATCATCTGTCATTGACCCATCACATCCACAATCAGCCAATCCTCATGACAACCTGTTGTTAGGGGGCGTGGCTGAGCCAGACTCAGAGGAAGAGGAGGAGGAAGAGGAGGAGGAAGGAGAAGAAGAGGAGTATGCAGCCAGATTGTATTTACCTGTAACCCATGGTAAAGGGACTTTACTTTGATTCATTAGAAACCTTCTTATAGAACACTTCACTCCTTCTGGTCATCTGAATCACATCATTTGTTTTCACAATCACATCCGTCCTCACTCCCCCCCCCCCCCCCCCCTTTGCCCTTTTGGAACCTGTATGTCTCAATCTAACCACCCAGCAGCCTCACCTGCTCTGAGTGTTAAAGTGACCTGCTCATATGAGCTGATTCTGTCTCTGGGCGTGTTGTCAAGAGGAGAATGCTCTGCACTGAGATGGTAGGTTATTCATATGCTGTGAGATGGAAACATCACAACATCATATAGGTCAATTGAGGTCATTCCAACCTTCACTGCACTCTTCTCCCTCACTTCCTTTGTGACTGCTGTCTGTTGCAGACTCCACCATATATAAGCTGTAGTTGTTTTTCATGTAGCTTGCTTATGATACATGTTGAGATGGCTCATACCATTGCAGAGGACCTCAGAGGACCTCCAGTGTGCTGTCAATGTGTTGGTGGGAATCAGACAGTTTCTTCTTCTCCATCACAGTTTCTCCCAGCCTATTTGTTTCCAACTCTACCCTCCTTCCATGTCTGCTTCTGTGTTCCTTCACACAACACCCACAAATGTGACCTGCTGTTAGAGACATACTGACAGATGAAATCACTTAATAGATTATTTAAATGTGGGAGTCAGCAATCTGTGAATGAAAGAAGGTAAATAAAGATTGTTTGACTTTTACTATTCCAGTTCATACAGAAATAGGGTCTGGAAAAAGTTATGCGAGGCATTTTGAACGTTTTGAAATAAAACAGCTGTTAAGGAAGTGGCACATTGAGTCCTGCAAACAGACTCAGCCGCTAAGATTGAACAAGTCCTCATTCAGACATGTGTTGAATACCATTGACAGGACTCTCCTGAACTGAAGAGGCCAAACACCATTTTTCAGGACCTGGAAACAATCCATAGTTGAAGCTAGAAAGTCCACAGATCAATATGGACTTTGGGCTGGATCAATATTCTGGATTGGTAATTGAAGTTCATTACAACTTATATTATTCAGATCAATGACACCAGTCAGGCTACTTTGTTTGGTCAGTACCTTCTAAAGTGTGAAGACCACATTCTTCATCCTCATGTTAACAGTGGACACTTAAAGTTAGACAGCTGTCCTTTGTGATCACTGTCCAGCCATGAGAGCAGATTCCACAGGCTGCTGCTGGCCGCTCTGCACATGGCAAACGTTGAGGATGAAACCTTAGTCTGGCTGTTTGAACCACACGACCACAGGGGCTGAGTTTGGTTCTAATCAGAGTGCTGATCTGAGACCTGTTGCCTGTGGTGGTTGACAAGCACCAGATGCAGAGTCATGTTGGCTGGCCAATGACCCTGTATCAGTCCTCTCATAGTCAGGAGGTTGATAGGAAACAGACTTTGATGGTTTGAAGAAAGGAACTTAGAAGACAACCACAATTAGAGTCAGACTAGATCAGGAGAGGGGGCATTGAAGGAAGAAATAAGGAGGGAGGAGATTTCCAAGGAAGGAGAGTGAGAAAAAGAAAGACAGCCACATGGAGTGATGGAAATAGAGAGACAGACAGACTTCTCCTCATATATACATTGCCCTCTAAACATAATCAGAAACAGCTCTGAAAGAGGGTCTTGGAATGGCTAAAAGGGAGTGCAGCTGCGTGTGGTCCTGGTTCCCAAAGCAGTCCCAGCCTGACCGAACCAGCCCACGCTCAGCCAAACATCTAAAATATCACTCTCACCACTTCCTGCACTTTTTAGACATGCTTTTTTCTTTATTGGCTCGTATCACTCTGCATGCTTTCCTCCAGTTCTCTTTGCACCAGTGATTCTGTGGGAAGTGGTGCACTGAAGCTAAGGGGCCTTTAGCTTGGATTTTCCTGCACATAAACAAGTAGAATCAGATGCAGAGACCACTTGTGTTAACTCCTTGTTTACATGAGCATGAAGCTGAGCAGGGTTACAGTGTGAGAACCAGTGTACTCATATCTTTTACTTAAAAGAACAAATACTATAGTCCTAAAGTACTCCATTACAAGTAAAAGTCCTTATTTCAAAATGTTCCTTAAGTAAAAGTACAAAAAGTAAAACTATTCATTCTGGAAAATGACCCATTTCACTACTTTAAAGTAGAGAAGTATTATCAGCAAAATGTACTTCAGGTAACAACAGTCAAGGTACTTGTTGCAGAATTATATTAGTGTGGTTATTTGATTCTCCTGTTTTTATACCTGAAAGTACATTTCAGTATTGTAGTTTGTCACTGTGGAACAATACATTATGTGTAGATTAGTAGCAGTGTTGGGAGTTACAGTAATGTATTACTTGTTGCTGTAACGCAGTAATGTAACGCATTAATAATGAAATGTGGGTAATATACTACCCATTACAATTCTCAGTAACGCAGATACATCACATTTTAACCCGAAATTAAATGGTGTTTTGTTTTTTAAGAATTCACTAACATCGCGAGACATTCCGACACCAGAGAAAAATTGTGCGGCTAGATTAGTGAGCCTGGTGTTTACCCTTCAGGCTCATCAAGATCACGACGCGAATCAGCCTAAAGAAAAACATGTTTTCCAAAAGAACTACGCATCTCTTGAATGACAATATGCCTGCGCTGCACCTCCAAGGTGCGCAATGCATTATTGCGCAATCTATGCCTGTCAGCGTGCTGCGCGAGCCGAGATGATGTGTGTGTGCGTAGTTGAACCTTTTCATATTTAAGTTTGTAGCAAGTAGAGGGCTGCTGTGTGTGTGTGTGTGTGTGTGTGTGTGTGTGTGTGTGTGTGTGTGTGTGTGTGCGTGCGGGTGCGTGCGTGCGTGCGTGCGTGCGTGCGTGCGTGCGTGCGTGCGTGCGTGCGTGCACGCGTTAGTTTTAAAAAATAACATAGAGCTCAGTTTATAACTCGAACCCTGACCAAGCCGTGTAATAAAAGTTGTTAGTAGCCTTAAGGACAGTTGTTATGCTATACCACATCGCCCTTCACTGGATGTATAATGAGCTGCACTAAACTACATTTTAGCATTTAAAATATCTAGCCATTCTTTTGCGGTTATTTTGGTAAAGTAACTCAAAAGTAATATAAAAGTAGTGTAACTCATTACATTTCAGAGACAGTAATATTGTAATGTAATTTATTACTTAAAAAATACAGTAATAAGTAATATGTACTGTATTACATTTTGGAAGTAACTTGCCCAACACTGATTAGTAGTACAGTACTGCACTTTACCGTATCAGCAATACATGGAGTAGAGTAAAAAGAACAATATTATCCTCTGAAATTAAGCAGAGTATAAGTATGAAGCAGCATTAAATGAAAATACAATACTTGAGTAAATGTACTCAGTTACTTTCCGCCACTGGTGATAATGAAGGAGTGATAATCCAGACCTTACTCTACATCTTCACTGGGAGAGATATTGATGTGTGAATCATCAGAAACAGAGCTGTATTCTAAATAAAAAAGGTTTCAGAGAAGAATCTACACAACATCAAACCCATGGAGATATTCCCCATCAGGCCCATTCACACTGGGACAGCTGGTGTTTATGTATTTATAGCTGATAGGAGACTTAGTTGATCATAAACCTCTAATAATGGCCCCTATTTAGCTTTCCCTCAGAAAGAAAGAGGACCAGGTGTTTCACATTAAAAGCCTCCCAGCGGCTCAACGGACACATCTAATCCGTTCCCTGTTATATTTTAAACCTGAAGCAGGGAAAACAAGCAAGGATAAATTAACAACATCCATAAAAAAATAGATTAAAAATAATTACTGGATTATAACAGTGTTTTATGTTTAAATGAGTAACTGCCGAAATGCAAATGATCCAGAAATTACTGAGTGAGCACACTGGGCAATTATTAGTATACTAACCTTATTCATGGTATCTTAAAACACATGCGTGTATCCAATTCTAAGTATAACTATATTCATTGATTAAAATAAATACATGTGTGTTTGGTTGTTCCTATTGGCTGAGACAATGCACTTGGTGATATCCCCAGAGAAGTACTTTAAGTCACTTAGTTTATATAAGGATATCATCAGCACTATTTCAGCAAAGATGCATTAAACCAATAGTACTGTCCAATAGTGAATGCATTGGGGAAATGTAATTGATTTCATTCATTATTTACTAAAATATGTCAACGTTTGTTTGTGACGTTTTATGAAATCATAAACTGGATGTGAGAGATGTATTCTGCATTTACCACTGGAGGAGCTGAGAACCATAGTTACACACAGAAGCTGCTGTTAAAGCTTAAGATCACACAATGAGGTGTGTGTCTGTCTCTGGATGTCTCCATGCTGCCTGACAACAGGAGAGTCTGAGCTGGGATGTGTATCACACACACACACACACACACACACACACACACACACACACACACACACACATACCATGTATACATCACTTCAGGGGACATTACATTGACTTACATACATTTCCTGGAATCTTATCCTAACCTTAACCATAACCAACACATGCCTAACCCTAACCCTTACTCTGACCCTTACCCTAACCCTAACCTAACCAAGTCTTCACCCTAAAATTAATGATTCCCCTCATGAGGACCTCCATTTTGTCCCCATAAGGTAGGCGAGTCCCCACACGTGACTGTGTAAACAGATTTAGGTCCCCACAAGTATAGTAATGCTAGGCCACACACACACACACACACACACACACACACACACACACACACACACACACACACACACACACACACACACACACACACACACACACACACACACACACACGCCTATAGAACTTTCAGTTGTTGGTGTATAAGTCAGGATGAGCCCTCTCTTTGTCCTGTCCCCCCCTCACAGTGTATCACGGGGGGGGGGGACTCTGACATGTTGTGTTCTCACTGTGCCTCAGGCCTCCTCCTGTATTCTCTGCACCAATGCGTTGGTCTGGAGGATAAATACTGCATTCTCTTTGACTGAGCAAATCCAAG